TCCTTAAATACTAGGTTCTCCTAGTAGAAATAGCAGTATTTTCCAAAAACATGAATACAAGTTTTTGTTTTGTTTTCAAGCACACACACAGGTTCTTATTGAACTTTTATTTATTTTTTTGGAGAGGTTTTTGCTATAGGGCGCATGCGCTCGCCAGACAGAGAGACAGAGAGACAGAAAGCGAGAAATCACCCCCCAGGGGGGATGGTCACGCTGCAATCCCTTCTCCATTCTCCTCTCCGGGATCTTGGGCACACACACACACACACACGCGCCCGGCGTGAGTTTAAGCTCCAGGACTTGAACCACAGTCAATCATGTGGAAATCCAGCATCTTAACGACTACACCGTCGGCTGGCCCCATTAATTCTTTTTTTTTTCTTTTTTTTGGGGGGGGAGAGGTTTTTGCTAAGGGCATGTGTGCTCGCCAGAGAGAGACAGAGAGACAGAAAGTGAGCAATCACCCCCCAGGGGGCCACGCCACAGTCCCTTCTCCTCCATTCTCCTCTCAGGATCTTGAGCACACACGCACACACGCCCGGCATCAGTTTAAGCCACCGGGTCCGGGACTCGGACCGTAATCGACTACATTGGAGTCCAGCGACATAGCCATTATGCTAACTGCTGGCCCCGCCCCCATTAATTCTTAATCCCCTCCCTGTCCCTACAAGTCTAGCTCCACTTTCTCTGGACGCCTTTGGAGAACGGCAGTGCCATTACAGAGGAGGTGGGGAGCCCTGGCCGTGTGGAAAGCAGACAGGCCTGCCGCGGAGGCCGCCTCCACCGAGGTGGGCAAAGCACCATCTCAGTCATTGCAAAGCGATGCGCAGAGGGTCACACAGTCACCGCCGCCCGACTGACACTGCCTGCCCACGACACTGCGCTTGTTCCCTACAGAGGTGGCCGCGGCCAGGCAGAGCGGCCTGGCCCGGGGTGGCCATGCCCAAGGACCCTCGGACTGCACGGTGGAAAGTCCCCCACCCGGACCGCCCCCTCCGATGCCAACACTGGACGGCGCAGACAGGACTGAGGAGGGAGACGGGGA